AATTCATCCATCTCGCTCAAAGATCCCGGCAGATATTCCGTTCAAAGAGAGATGCTGGCAAAATGGTTATTAGCCTCGCTGGTCGTTAGTTCAAACCATATTGTTCTTACTATCAATTACCCAGCACAAAGAAATTATTTTTTCTTCAATTTTATTATACTAATCGTCTGGTAATCTAACTCAGTAACTCTCTACGGAGTTCTCTAATATTTTTCACATTCAAATAAGTCAAAAATATAATTTTAGCTCTATCATCAGCAGTGGTCTCACGAGTTACGACACACCCTGTATTATCAACACATTCATTAATAGTTGAGTTTGGACCACACCCCAGATACTACAAGTATCACACAAGCGCGAAGTTCGTTCACCCCGCGTCTATTAACGTTCTGCGAGTACCTTATAGTTATACACCAAATTACATAGCCACTTTTCTCTCAAGATATCCACTTATTTTTTTGTTTTGATGGCCACTTCCTTTTATCTGGTATGTAGTTTTTATAGCAGGTCAAATTATACACCGGCTTAGATAGCCACCGATTTCTTTCTATAGATATCTACGTGATTTCAAGATAGGTAGCCACCTGCATCTTAACTCAAGATTCTACTCAGTTTTTAGTTGGTTAAATTGTACACGGATTTGACAGCCACAGCTACTTATTTATCATGAGACTGGCTGTGCCCGCGGCATCGTGCACATGAAAATAGTTTGATTGCAACATTTTTCTTTACTGCTCCGCCCCTATTGGCTGTCATCATCATCATCAACAGCCCTTTACAGTCCACTGCTGGACTATGAGCCTCCTCCACTATAGCGGAGGGTTTTGCCATAATCCCCACGCTTTGCAGGCGGGTTGGAGATCGTAGTTTAAAAGATTGATGTTTTTCAGAGAGCGCTGCTGCCCGTTCTCTGTTTGATGTGTAGTCCCTAAGTCGCCTCTTACGACACCCGCGGGAAGAGTAGGGGTTGGTGACAAATGTATTCTACTCTGCCGTCACCACATGGCTATTGGCTGTAAAACCTTCCTCGATAAATGGGCTATCCAACACAAAAATATTATTTCAAATCGGACCAGTAGTTCTTGAGATAACCGCGATCAAGTACAAACAATCTCTTCAGATTTATAATATTAGTAAGATATCCAGTCGACTTGTAAAATGGTTTGATTATACATTAGTTAGAGAGCCACTTCCCCGAAGATATCCGTTCATTTCTAAACCTGTTTGATGACCCACTTGGGTTGAGAAGACATGCAGGTGCATGCATTCTATGTGTTGACGTTGATCTCGTATGGTTGTTGTTGTGTGAACTGAATGTTTGTGTCAACAAAAGCAAAGTGATCACATTTGTGATACTTTAATTGAGGTACATAGTTAGGAAGTAGCAATGTGAGAAATTGCTATTCAATCAAATCAAATATAATTATTTGCATAAAACAGGGTTACAATATAGGTCATTTACATTTAGTTAGGTTAAACACCAAATGAAAAATGTAGACAAATTAGGCAGATGAACATTGACTGACTCCATCTTTTATTTCTCTAGAGATATTGATATCACTGAGAAGTGAGACAGTTGAATCTCTGTTTGATTTATGTTGTCTTAACGAAAAAGCCCGCCAAATTATATTGGCGTTTGGCGCTAAATAGCAACTCAGTGACTGCGCTAGCTAGAGAATGGGCCGTGAACCTGAATGATTTGGGTCAAATCAATCTTAGCTGAGCTAAATATAAATATATAAATGAAGACGCGGGTCTTATACAGGGTGTTAGGTAAATGGGTATATGAGCCGACACTAGCCCATGTTAACATAGGCATATAAATGGTATGGTGAAGTCAGAAATTTGATATCATGATTTTAATTTTTTAAATTTTCATACAAAATAAATTTTACAAAATCCGATTTGTATGAAAATTAAAATAGTTAAAATGAAGATATCAATTTTCTGACTTCACCATACCATTTATATGACCATGTTAACATGGGCTAGTGTCGGCTCATATACCCATTTACCTAACACCCTGTATAATTATACCATTAACATGCCTCTAGGGTGGCCTATAGAGGAATGTTAATGGTATAATTTAGACACTATAACTATGACAAATTCTTAAAATCTATCAAATTATCCCTCCCCTAGAGATACGTGACCTCACTCAATTTTCGAGTCACTCCAATCGTTGCAATTGAAATAAGATTAAACACAGCAGCCCACTTACAACCTCCCACCTCAGTAAGGTCCTTCGAAACTGGTTCTAACAAAACAGGTGGTCAGTGATCGTATTTGTTTTGTTACGCCAAAAAAATGTAAAAGCCGATGAAATAAAAGCTTACGTGACTATTCCCACCTCCCTATCGCTGCAACCCCTGTGTAGCCAGGATCTACAGCTTGACCGCCAATAAAAACCCAACCAGTGAAGTTCAAGTTTGTCCCGGAGGATTGCGAGTCCACCGCAACGAAATTTATTAGCAGAACGTAGGTTCGAAGTTAAAGTTTGACTTCCCTCCAGCCAGAGTGAGTTCCATAACCTTGTCAAATCGAACCTTAACTTCGAACTCCTCCTATGTTCTTCTGATTAATTTCGTTGCTGGTCCAATGACAGTTTAAATTTCCCCCGGGACAAACTTGACCTTCATTGGTTGTGTTTTTACGGCTTTCAAGCTGTAGCTCCTGGCTACACAGGAGTTGCAGTGGTGGTAACGAGAGGTGGGAATAGTCCCATTAACCTTGTCAAATGTCGCTGCGAATGACATAATGAAACGCGGTCCTCGACAGCCTTACATCATCCTACCTCGGCAAGGTCCTTGGGAACCGGTCTAACAGGTGGCCAGTGGATAGCGGTCATATCTCTTTCTATTGTTACCCCGACCGGAATTCCGCCTCGCGCAGTTTGGTTGATCCCAGTTTTGTTTGGGTCAAATTCTTTTAGGGATTCTTTACCTTTGGTAGAAATGAAATAGTACTTACTAGTACCCAGTACTACTACCCAGTTAAAAATTACTTATTAAACTGATATGTCATCATATCATTTTATGCTATACTAGCTTTCCGTCCGCGGCTTCGCCTGTGTGGATTTTTTTCTGTCACAGAAAATCTTTATCCCTGTTTCAAAAACCGGGATAAAAACTATCTTAAGTCCTTTCCCGGGACTCAAATTATCTCTATGCCAAATTTCATCAAAATCGGTTCAGTGGTTTAGGCGTGAAAGCAAGACAGACAGACAGAGTTTCTTTCGCATTTATAATATTAGTATAGATCTAGGAGGGATCAGGCAACTGAAATATTTCTATAAAATAAATTAATGAATAGGTAGATATCTACATAGTTCCTATTTGTAGTAATCGCCTAGACGTAGGCAATGCGATGTAGGCTAACAAGTTAGACCGCTGGAACTGGGTACCTTTCTCTAAACGTGAGAAAGAAATACAGAAGTTTCTACAGGAAATAATCCTACAGCTTCAAAGAAAGTTACTCTGTTAATTTGTTTGTTGTCATTATTTGGACGCTTAAACTATGAGATGAGATGAATTAATTACCTAGGAAAAGGACAAAGGTTTTACCTTTTATAGCAAAGTCTGGAAATGAAAGTATGTGTAGTAGCTTGCTATATAGACCTGTAACAAACCGGAATCAACACAGGCAATGGCACGGACTTTGAGCTTGATAAATTTAGTTTTTATAATATTTTTTTTACATATGAATGAGAAATTTAAATTGAAAATGTCTATGCCCTAGATTCTAGATAGTTATTTAGATTAGAAAGTTGCAAAACCTAGACGAGCTGATTGACATCGCTTTTTGTAAAAGTATTGTCTGACAGTCTAACCGTAGAACCACGGGTAGAACGTTAGTATTTTACTTGCAAGTTTATTTTTATTTACTTTCATCTTTCCACAGAAGAGTCACCATCTTTTCTGCTTTGAGCTCAAATTAATATTCCCAACTGATTTAAGATAGAGAACAAACTACGTATAATGGAGACTTCAATGAGGTCTGTAACCTATTAGGTAGTCAATTTTCTGTCATTTCGGTTATAATGACTGAAATACTGAAGTCACTACAACCGTGGTACAAAAAAATGCGTCAGTCTTCACAAGCCGTCATAGGCGTCTATTTTTTTTATGCATAACAAGGCGGGATTGCAATCGCACCCTTCTAAGCATACATATTTTCCTGCCTAATTAAGGCCCAGAACAGACGGTGAAACGCAACTGCAACGAAACTGCAACTGCTAGTTACTTTTGAGTTGCATCTAAGTTTCTGCCATAGCGTTCGTTGAGAGACCACACATGACGAGACCAGTTTGAAACTTTCAGTTTCAGTTTCATTCATAAGAATCATCAGAAAGTTGCAGTTTCGTTGCAGTTGCGTTTCACCGTCTGGTCTGGGCCTAAGCACCTAAGTTCCCAACTCGGAACAAATACCCCTTAGGAATCGAACTCACGACAACCGTGAGAATCCCAATTGACGTTGGCTAATGTAATCACTTCTTGCTCAATAGTCGACTGTCAACATTTTTTTACTCCGACCACCGTTAGCGCCAGACAGTGTCATTATCAAACTGATTCACGAACGCAACGAGTCATCGATATAGAATTCATATTATGTCGATATCCAAAGACCCAAACCTATCCTGTATGCACTAATCGCTTTGGAACTGGTCTATGTTATCTTTTGAGTATCAGTTTTTGTATTTCTTTATGATTGTGATTTTTAGTTATTGTTTAGTAAACCTTACTTGAAATAAATGCAAGTACTGTAATGCAGTATTCTGTGTGTTGTTGCAAAGGTAGCACGGACGTTATTCTAGTCAAAGATATAGCCAAAAGATTTTTTCTAGCAATTTTTTTCTGTATTGAATTCATATGAGTGAAGGACGTCTCCAATAGTTTGTGTTGCAATATTGAAACATTATTAAACGGTGATTTTAAAGTTAATTCTGTTTCGACCTTAGGATAGAGTTCTTGTAGTTATCATTTAAATATTTTTCTTTCCAGGTGTGAAAGATGAGTCAAAAGGCGAGTCGGAAGAGTGCGGTCAATGAAGAAAAAGAAAAGGTTGGTACTGAATTAAATCGTTTTTAGGGTTCCGTACCTCAAAAGGAAAAAACGGAACCCTTATAGGATCACTTTGTTGTCCGTCTGTCCGTCCGTCCGTCNTTACATAATGTTATAGTGACCATTGTTAATGTTTACCGATTGAACAATAATATCACTTCTTAAGTTTAACCACTTTCCTTGTTTACATTATGAAAAGGTTTTCACCACATATTTCCTTGTTTACACAATATAAATAAATGTTCTATCTTGTGTCCTAGTTCAATTGATTGTTGGTTCTAGTCGTATATTTACCTACATATACACAAAGAAAAAATATCTGGACATTTCCTTTGAAAAACATAGGTAGGTTAATTAATACGTCAAAATTTTACTAAGAAAGTATCTTGAGTGACCCTGGCTAAAAAATTAAAAACTTACTAGATTTAAAAAATTGGTCTGTCAACAGCTCTGGACTAGGGGTGATTCGTACGTATCTAGTTAGTAGGTACTAGGTATACCTACTTTGAATTTTATTCTATTAATGACGCAGACACAAAAATTTTAAATAATGAAATGACAAATATTAGAAAGTTAAAGCGCACTAACCTGCTAGTAAAGTTTAATTAACCCAGTTTACGGCACCTGCTATCGCGGGTCAGGCCAAATGTGTTATCAGTCATGTTTGTTTACGTTTGATAGCATTTTGTCTCCGTGTGGACGTAGCATACATTGTTGAGATTAAAATTGCATTTGTAAGTCATTTCTTAAATAAATTTTGTGAAAATTGCTTTTTTTTTGTGAAAGACTACTGTATGTTTTTGTGTCCTTGTGCAACTAAAGAACTCGAAACCAAGCAAGCTGTGGCTAAAAATTGCTAATAACTTGGCCTTTATGTTTGTTATGTTTGCACTCACATACCATTATAGCTATGTTTTATTAAATGCATATTTTAGCATTGGAAAGGATTGCTACATTTTTTTCATTAAGAAAAATTTGAAAGGTGAATTAAGATATTAAAGCCATCATTACGCAACTAACAATATGAAAATACATAGGTATTCAATTCAAGGTACTAAGATAGTACCTTAATATGTAAACTTAAGAATAGTCCTCATTTTATGATCGTCTTGTTAGCCGCGTCGTGTTACATGTGAGTACTTTCGTTAGCAGACCACAATTCATGTAATACTACGATTTTTTAATAAAATCCCTGTATCCTTTATGAACTTATAGGTAGGTTGGGCTCGGGAGCGTAACGTGTGTCCCTTCGTATCAAACCGGTGATGCGTGCGAATCACTCATGCGACACCAAGGACACAAACCCGTATAGAACAGCTAGCTTGTTTTACAGTTTTACCGTTAATCATTCATCGTATCGTCGTCTTACAACTTTGATTAGTTGTGGTTCCAGCAGACTGGAATAGGACCAACTCCTCATAGTACTTATCGTCGTCGTATAATGATTGCTCAGCTGTGGTTACAGCACTTCCAGCAGACTGAAGGAGGAACAACTCCACTCTTCCCGTGGATGTCATAAAAAGCAACGAAGAGACAATAATGCGAACATCAGTAGGACTAAGATCCGTGCCACGATAAACATAGAGGCAATTTATCGGTTTTGCGCGATAAGCCCATACATTTGTCGTCTAAAATCGTCGATGAGATTTTATCATGTCGCGCTACTATTCGGCCGTTTGGTGTAGTGGTTCAGAACGGACTACTATGCCGAGAGGTCCCGGGTTCGATTCCCGGCCGGGCAGAAATTGAAATGATGAATTTTAATTTCTGTGACGGGTCTGGGTGTGACTATGTATAATATTTATGTATTTAAAAAAAAAAAAGTATATAAGTAGTATATCCGTTAAGCTAGCACCCATAACACAAGCATTAAGTTGCTTACTTTGGGGCTAGCTGGCGCTGTGTGAAATTGTCCAAAGATTTATTATTATTTATTTATTTATTATTATTCCGGCAGGCCTCCTCACCATTCCGCCTTGCTAGCGTGGCAGGTAGGTCGTCTAATCCCTTATCTGTCACTTCTTTGTGTAAAAGAGTACTGTCAAGTCGTAAAATTACGAATATTAAGCTATGTATTTACAAAGCACATACGTGCCGATATACCTAAGAACCACTTAAATAAATCAGGTGTCTTCTGCTTGCATGCCTTATCTCAGTTTTAATTTTAATAAATGCTTGTAAAAAGGTCTTGGTCACGACTCTGAAAATAAACTGGCCTGGCTGTCCTATACGGTATGTGACTCAGTTATGGTGTTATTTATAGCAGGAGGAAGGTTGATGGGTCCATTAATAACATAATTTTATTTAACCCGTCTGTATCGATCCAGTATTGTAATCGAATTATAAATATCGCTGCTTGCCATATAAAGTCGTATTGAAATTACACCAAATGATATTAAAAGATGAGAAGCTAACGCTATGTGCTGGTCCGCGTCGCTATGATACGAAAGGGACTAAAAATATACTTAATATTCAGTATTATTTCTTTTGCAATATTAATTCATTCAATAGCAATGTTATTCACGATTTTTGCTTAATCTTATTATGATGGTCATAATGAAGCTTCACTCTCCCACTCGCATTGCAAATAGCTTCCTTGTGTAGCCTCCGCCTAATGTACTATGTCGTAGGTATTCGTGATATTAAGGAAATTATGTGAACTGTGGATAGCAACTTGACTCTCACATTACGCAAATACACGTTAGACGCTCTACACCAGGGGTGGCCAACCGGTCGATCGCGAATATTAGTCAAGTCTAATCGATTGTGTACTAACCTATGCTGTTTCATTTAACATTTCAAGAAGTTTGTGATAGATCTCCCAGGGTTTCGTTAGTAAACAGTAGATCTTATGTCTAATTAAGTTGGCCACCCCTGCTCTACACAAAGCTGCCGACACATGCCGAGGCGACGCGTCTGGGTGTCGCCGGTATTATTATAAATATCGCATTTTATGTGCCCGAATTAGGTGGGTATATCAACATCACCAAGCTCCGTCTTTGAGTATGTTTTCAATATACGGACAATAGAAGTACGACCTTGCTTGCTTATGTGATATCGTTCAGTTATTCCGAAATTAGGGAGAGAAAACAAACTTCAACGTGCTTCAACTGTGTTTAGTTTAGTACATTTGTAAGCAGATTTTAACATAGGACTCGATAGAAGGAAAGTACATAGAAAAATCCTATAATTATTGTTCTGTGTCTATACAACGTGTCCCAAAATTCAAGGATAAGCCGGCGCCGCAGGGTGGACATAGTCATGACTGCTTTAGGAAAAATAAGAAAAAAAATCTATCTCAATTATTTTTTAAGTTACACAATAAATTATGAAATTCGTCGAAAATTGACACCCCTTATGATATTTTACATTACCACGACTACAATTTTTCAAATACTTCAGTTTTTTTGTTTGTATCGGCAACTTAAGTAGTGCTGCTGTCCACCTCAATTCTTAAAACTCTCAGAATCCTTGCAGTTTTTACACAAAAGTTGATCAAAATATGATATTTCCTTAAAATTTTGAACGATTTTTACTTACACTCCACTTTGACTCGTCGTTTTGTAAAAAAACAGTATGAACACTACTGCGGCAAGTTTTTTATAAAGTTGACGCAACTATCCAAGATTCCGAAATGGTATAATACTCTAAGAAAACTAGTCGCAAAAAAGATATGCGTACCATTTTTACAAGCATTTCGCTTGTAAGTTAGTATGAGATAAATCTTGCAACTGAATTTAAAACCAGTTCTCCTTAACCAATTGAGCTGAAATTATGGCCACCTCCATACTCCATCCAGCTCAATGGTACCATAATATTGCATTGTCATCGTACTTACACAAGTATACCAAATTTCAGCTCAATTGGTTAAGGAGAACTGGTTTTAAATTCAGTTGCAAGATTTATCCCATACTAACTAACAAGCTAAGTGCTTGTAAAAATGGTACGCATATCTTTTTTGCGACTAGTTTTCTTAGTGTATTATACCATTTCGGAATCTTGGATAGTTGCGTCAACTTTATAAAAAACTTGCCGCAGTAGTGTTCATACTGTTTTTTTACAAAACGACGAGTCAAAGTGGAGTGTAAGTAAAAATCGTTCAAAATTTTAAGGAAATATCATATTTTGATCAACTTTTGTGTAAAAACTGCAAAGATTCTGAGGGTTTTAAGAATTGGGGTGGACAGCAGCACTACTTAAGTTGCAGATACAAACAAAAAAACTGAATTATTTGAAAAATTGTAGTCGTGGTAATGTAAAATATCATAAGGGGTGTCAATTTTCGACGAATTTCATAATTTATTGTGTAACTTAAAAAATAATTGAGATAGATTTTTTTTCTTATTTTTCCTAAAGCAGTCATGACTAGGTCCACCCTGCGGCGCCGGCTTATCCTTGAATTTTGGGACACGTTGTATATAGGTAACCGAAAACGAAAAAGTTATTTTCAGATTCAGAGCAAGAGAAAATCCTACCTTCATCTGCCATTCCAAATCATGAGTATTGCAGAAACACGGAGGCTCAAAATTAACATATTCAAATACATTTGCAAAGATTTACGTGCGTTTCAAAGGTCAGGAAAGATTTACATTTTACATGTCCCAATGGATACTTAAGTTGAACGTCTGGACTGAATAGCACTTGCTATTATTTGCTTTGTGCAGTGAAACATCTAGCATTGTGCCCTAATAGGGATCTTTAGGGCTGACGATAGTGCAAGGAATATTATTCTAAAATACGAACGAAACTATTTTATACGTGGAAATCAGAGGAACAGAATAGGAGGACGCAGGAAGATTTAATGAATGCTACTGACAACGCCACTCTTGTAGCGGAGTTTTGGGCTAACACTGTATAGGTTTGTTGTAGACACGACAAGAAGAAGAAGACGGACTAGAACTCTTCTCTAACGTCAATCTTCCGGCACTTCTGGGTTTTCGATATTTCATGACAGTTCTAGCTATCCGTTTCCGGTCATGTCATCTCGTTCTGTCGTAAAG